CGCATCGCGGTTTCATCTTGATCTACGTCGTGTAATATTATCCTTATTTCAACCTTGCAGGGAGCTTAGAAGATTAAAAGACTAGTCGATATGAAATGACTTGTCATCCCTTCGTCACGATGACCTAAAAGGGTCAGGATTGCGAAGTGAAATTGGCATTCTGAAGTTCACCGTCCTCCAAAAGCCGTCTATTGTTTTTCATCACTTTTATGGTATTACTGTTGAGACAATTTCCCCCGATACATTCTTTGCCGTTTTGTAACTTCCCATTAATGTTTTTGTATATTACAAAATGGCATTCCCTAATTGTATCCTCTAGAAAAGGCACCATATAAATCCAACTATTATTATTATTAATATTAATTCAAGCGGTATAATAACGAAACAAATATTTTTGTTTGATCGAAGTGAGCGATCGCGAAGTCCTCATTCGTTCTGCTCCCATCTCTTACACATCGTCAATACACATCTGAGTTATGTCATGATGTTTATCCAGGGATATAAATATAGATCTAATTGCTGTTCATGCATAGCTGCGATCTTGAGTCTTCGCTATGGAATTCCTGGAGATGAGAGTGTTTTCAGTGACGTCACAATTTGTTGAAAGCTCTGTGATGTCGTCTGCTATTTTTGTCTGCTGGATTTAAGGTTTATACCAGTGCTGGTCCAGTACTGGTAGGTGATGTTTTATGACCATTTAAAAATCGTGCATGTACAGCATCCTAGATAAGAAATCATAGTGCTAATTTTTTTCTCAAAGTCGTTGACAAGAAATTAATGGGAGAGTTGACATTTTTCAATCTATTTTAGATTGCCAACTGTTCATTAATTCCTCATAGCTAAAGAGAAAATACCTGAATGAAAATAAAAGCATAATTTGGGCTAATTGCAAAATGTAAATTATTTCTTATTTGTAAATTTCCCCTGGAAGCGCACGGCCTCCCCTCCCCCTTTAATGGAGGGGGGGGGGGGGGTATTTGATTTGCTTGTTTACATCATAAGATGCTGTGAATTATTGCCAAGCTACCCTCTCTGAAAAGTCATATCCATATCTGTATTGTAAACCGAAACACAATAATGCTCTATACATTCAGATCTCATACGTTTCGAGAGTGCCTCTTAAATCAGGGGTCGCATTCGAGCTATGAGAAGAAAAGAGAGAAAGATTGGCGATGCACATCTCTGACTGTTTCGGTAATCGAGCCTCTTAATCATCTCTCCCTCTCTCTCTCTCTCTCTCTCTCTCTCTCTCTCTCTCTCTCTCTCTCTGTATCTCCCCCTCTCTCTCTCTCCCTCTCTCTCTCCTTCTCTCTCTATCGCTGATGCGAGCCGCCCTGCGTCTGGAGTTTCAGAAGAGGCATCTTCTTAATAACATGTTTGTCATCGACTAGGTATATCTGAGATGGTTCGACGGAGAGGGTATGTCAGGATCAGTCTGGCGCTCATCTCTCGAGCTGTCCACTCTCACCTTTCTCAAACCCTAGGACGGTTCGGAAGGGACAAGGGGGCAGATATTATTATCTCAAGATGGAACTCTTGGGTATCCCTGAGCCAAGTGGCATTAGATAGCTATCATACCATATGGTTTTGATTAGTATGCTATCTTCATAGTCCAAAGGCTTCCAGGATCAGCACGAACGCAAATATTCCCAAAGAATCGCCATTTAGCAAAGCACGAGTGTCCGGTGAGCTGGCAATTGAGAAATCTTTTGGGGAAAAGTAGTTTGCTTTCCTTGTATAGGTCTTCTTCACGCTGTTGACTTTAAGCTGTTTTATGTTGAACATTTTTGCTCGGCGGAAGTAATGAAGTACCGTTTCCCTCTTTCTCAGTGCATACACAGCTTCATATCTACCGTGGATCGAACGACACATACTCCACACTCTACTGACACTAAACAATTAGTCCCTGGTCTGAGTCCCGACATTAAACATTATAACCAATCTGAACCGTATTAACCCTCAAATCCAATCGTCATCCTATAAAACCTTTTACGAAATAGAGCCTATGGGAAAGTGTCGCTGGACTAAAATTAAAGTCAGATCATTCTGCCAGGATGTTAAATAAAGGATTGCAAAAATATTCGATAGATCAACCCAAGACTATTTTAATAGCCTTGTTCATCACCTAATGAAATGGTAACAAATTGCAGAGATATATTACGTAATACGAACATGATTAATGTGACATACAATCATGACAAGAGGGTAATGAAGTTACCCTTAATTGAGTCACTGTTAGTTGATTTATTCGGAGGTGTTCGCAGTCGTGTTTCAAGCATTTTGACTGGGGTTAGGATGACTTAACTACTCCACCATCCCACTTCCCAGGGTCAGAAACTAGTTCACAGTGGGGTTCATGTCATAAGGTATTAACTCACTTACGAGACGGGAGGAAGATAAGGGGGTAATACGAATCAGATTAACGTGCATCATCATCCTTTCGAATATCCTGCTCCAATATGAAAGGATGTTTTAATCCAGCGGTTTAGTGGTAGATTAGGGAAGATAGGTCAAGATAGGGTGGAGAGTGTCATGAATTCCCAAATTTCAAGCCAACTTTATTTAATCTGCAAGAACTGATGCGTATAAGCAAGGGCCCCTCCTGAATTTGATTTGTGGGGAAAATATCTGGAAACTACTAGAAATAAATGACCCGATGAGGTGAAAACATGTTTCGGTTATCAGTGACGTCTTATATTTCGCATATGGAACTAAACTAAATATCAGGCGAACTCTCTGTACCTTTCAATTAAAATTAAATCCTGATCGCAAGATAAGAGACTATCTCTGAAAATTCCAAGTTGACCTATTGATCACGTGACTTGATTACTTAATCGATTGGCCACGCGAGCCGTGATCAATTTCCCTTTTGAAGATTAACGACTGGGTTTTATGATTCAGCAGAAAAGATTTTAATTATGAAATTATGAATTAATGAGGGCTCAATGTCAGAGGGCAAGGTGTACTAATACACCTGTCGCAAGTGAGTAGCCATGAGAGCAGAGGATTTGGCATGCGATATCTTAGGGTTCGATGAAGGGATCGGGGAAGTGGAGTGGGCATGGGGGGAGGGATAGACGAGAGAGTTAGGAAAGAAGATAGAGGGGTAGAGAGAGACAAGAGGGACAAGAGAAGAAGAAATAGAAAAAGAGAAGGGGAAGAAGAGAAGAGGAGAGAGAGGGAGACAAAGAGAGAGAGAGAGAGAGACACACACATACACACACACGCACGCACACACAAAAACACACACAGACAGAGAGAGAGAGAGAGAGAGAGAGAGAGAGGCCCCTTCAAATTGTGCCAAATAGTGATTGGAAACATACTTTCAAGTTTGCCCAAGGATGTCGTTTAATTGATTAGGGTCCACCTTTATCCAATTACAGTCTTTGAATATTAATACAAAATCTGTGTGCCAACAGAGAAATTAAGTAATACTTCATGAGCCTCATATGCCTACATGTGTGCTGGTCTATCGCTCTGCATTATAAATACCCTGGTTGAAATAAAAACTGCGACATCACTGTTTGTACAAACTAGAAAGATTGCAACATTTCAAATATAATGGTTACAGTCCTCGACTTTGATGAACTCATAAATAAACTTCTGTTAAGTTTACTATATGACTGGAGGGGTAAAAACCGATCCATTTAAACAAAAATGGTTCAAAAGATTCTATCGTAAAATTAAACAAGAAAAATTGCAGATTCATGTCCAGTGTCAAGTTCACCTACATATCAATTAACTTAACCCTCCTACCGCCAAGATCAGAGTTTATACGCGCAGTGACGTTTGATTGTGGTGAGCATGTAACGAAAGGGGTAACGAGGAAGATGTGCAAAAGGGCATTATTCTATAGGGAGTTCCTGGCAATCTCCGAAGACAATTTTGTCCCAGAAAGGTGGTGTGTTGACTCAAGATCTGTGCAAACCTCTCCCGGGATTGTCATGGCTCCTCAGGGAATTACTGGCCTAATATTCAAATATTCAATATTTGAGAGCAAACACCTCATCCAAAGTCATATTCAGTGCAAGGCGATCGAGCACGACATAGCGATGTATTTTAGCGCGTTAAAAATTGATTGATATCGATAGCGGATTGGTCGTCTGCGAATAAAAGCGCGTTTTGATACTGCCAATTTGAAAAATCAATTAATCAGTAATTTACACAATTGATACACTGTCAAAATAACTAGGACAGAAGACATTCTAGCATACATTCCCATGAGAACTTTGCCTGCAATTATCACCTATGTGAGATAACCTACAGTGAGTCACAAATTACATATTTGAACAGTTTATGTCTTTATCAATCACTTCCATCTATGAGATAACTTTGGCACCACCCCCACGTTTGTCGATTCGTATCTATAGATAGCTGTCACGCATAGTCAGTGTCGATTGGTTTGAATGGTTTAGCACACCGTGATATTGATTCATGAATAGAAGAATTGATTGTCTCTTATCCACTCCACTCTGCCATGATATGATTACAAATGTCACGAAGTACTTAAAGCCTTTAGCAGCACTGTAATGGTACATAGTTCAATCGTATAATTGTTATGTAATACGTGCTTATTCGGACGCGGTTATGAGGAAATAATTAATGAACTTTGAATGATAACAGTTTGGGTGTTTGCAACGTGGACGCGATTTGAGTGAAAGTAATCTAAGGTTGAAATAAGTTCATGTAAAGTGTAGAGCAATGGTGGCGACTGAACTGCATTGTATTATATACAATGTTCATTGTTTAGTTATTTTCTTGAATAACATCTCTTTAACGTATGGATTCTATTCGTGTCAATCGCTAAATTCCAAGTTTATAGCCTGTTTTGAACAGTTCTTTTCTATCAACAATTGCTACCTCTAAATGTTAACGTCTCTCTCCAGCTGGAAACTTCAAATTCGTTCCATGCTGGATGAATTGTATCATAGTTATTGAAATAAAACAATCTTCTTTAGTCTAATTATGTATTTTTAATTGTATTCCTTTTACTCCAGGTTCGAGCTGAGGTGAATAGGTGTTCCTGTCCAATGCAGTTTCCTATGATCAGAATTGCAGAAGGAAAATACAGGATAGGAGACTCCAATACACTCATCTTTGTTAGAGTGAGTATCCAATTTATTGTTGTATTCAATGGCGTAGCCACAGGATGATCGAGTGGCGAAAAATGAACAAAAATATAAAATATTAGAAAAAAAGACAGAAAATGGAAGAGGGGGAAAATAATTTCAAAGGGGGTGATAATGACTTAATCCCTCACCTCTCATAATCAATGGCCATGTTGCTTTACCTTTCATCTATCAAGTATCCATGATCGGTGCCCCTTCCCCGTGATATCGGTGTCTCTTTTCAGTCTTTCGTTATCATTTTATACATCTTCGTATCTCCTCCTTTTCTCAGCTGCTTTTTTTTTTACCAGCTTTTTTCCCCTCTCAGCATAATTTTATCCTCTCTCCATCTCCTCGCGATCTTCATTTCATGTATTTGTTTCGTCTGCATCCTGTTTAGCTATTCTTGCTCGAAGCAGTGCTTTTATGATCCTTCCATACCCTGTACAATAAATATTTCCCGTCACATTTGTTATTCACCCACCGATATAGTTGAATATATGGGACTGTCTAGCATACCACTCTAGGTTCTTCCGTCCATTAACATTCTGCGTATGAAACGCTATCTACTTGATCAATGTTGCGTTCCTTCATAAATTTGAATATTATTTTTGTTTAACCCTGTATCGTTGAACATGATTTTTTTCTCTTCAAATTATGTATATAAATTGGAGTGTTTCGTATATAATTATGTTCAATCGGTCTTAGAAAACATGGTTGTGGTTGTTGTACATGAATGTAAGTCAAGTAACACACAATGGTTTGATGACCATCGAACCGGATAGATTTTATCCTCCCATGATTTCGTAAAATAATCATATTATATTTTGCTGCCATTTGCAAGTATTTCTTAACACATTGGTCTCTCTTCCAGATCTAACATGTTTTAAATAGTACATAGCAGTAGCACTTATAGATCTGCATGTCATCTGTTATTACTAAAACAAAAGTTATTCATGATATCGTGATTAGCAGTTTTTTTTTAAACACTGTCCTCCTCAAAAATGCGTGCGTCAATCTGGAGATTTGACCAGGTTAGACCATGATTCAATCTGTTATTGACTCCCAACTTCAACCAATGTGCAATATTTTGACTCAGAAGTGTTGATAACTCGTGCTTACTCACTCACACCGAGTTCGTAATTCAATTATTTCAATTGATCTCTTAATCCATACCCTATCAAATCTGATTATATCAAACATCATGGGACACCAAGGCACCGCAAATTATTCGTGCAATTTAAGACTTTAGTGTTACCCTAGGAAATAGCGTCTGGACTGTAAACAAACAGACGGTACTGATGACTATTTAATGACGGACAGGCCATGTTTTTGCTTTTCTGTGATATTGTTTCGTTCTGGTACTTTGTTTAGCTCCGGTTTTAATATCTAGCATTAATGATAGTGATGAGTGCCTTAAGATGGTTAAATACCAATTAGCGTCATTTAAAAGGGATTTCTTTGGTGGTTTTACACTGGGGAATCCAGCAGATTGAGCTCGTAAATTGATTTCATTATTGTCTCTAATTTAATTTCCTTTGCTACATTTATAGTCATGTCTGTGAGGTGTTGGCTAAAGTTGGACAAAGATGGCGTGCTTGCTATATGCACCCTTGACCCATGCTAACACTGTTCTTTAACACCAAAAGCTTTCTCTTTTTTTTCGGGAGTGAGGGTGGGGGTGGGAAGGTGGGGGGGGGGGGGGTTTAGAGGATACCAATCGTTATTTCAGTTATTATATTCGATGTGGTCTTATTTATTATTCTTGTCTCGAGCACTTTTCTCTCTCTTCTGGCCCTGTCAACTTGGTACGCAACCTTCCCGATGTTACTCCGCCATATCGATCATGCATGTGTTTTAATTGTTTCCTCTCGTCGTTCTGAATTTCCCATTTTATTTTTGAGAAGTCTGACACATCCATGAGAAAACTAAAAGAAGACTATACTGTTCCTATTTAGGCATGATTTTGACGTAGGTAGAGTATACTGCCCATGAAACATTTACTCATCTAAGTGAAAGTCAACACGCGAAGGTCATCTTCATCGGCTTCTCATCTCGGTCAATTAGTTGGGATTTAAAGCGATGAACGGTAACATCAGAGACCCGGGGACGCCATTGGGTCACAGTTTCGGCATTACTGACTCATTTTCGCCTCGATGTAGTCATTCATGATATGATCCCTTTTGTTTTGAGAAAGACATGGAAAAGGTCTAGTGGAGGTCGAAGCTTGTGGTAATTTCCTGGAGATCCCGCGTCCAAGTTTGAACCTACCTCGCCCATCGTGCAATTATGAGCTAGTGATACCACAAGGTCAAAAGTGATCCCCGGTCCTTTGTAAATCCCGGTTGTACCCCCGAATCCAATATCACCGACTCTCGGTCACCAATATCACCCATGTGTATTAATACATTGAGAGGCCTAAGGCCTAGGGGTTGAGTGACAATCATATCGTGTTCTAGCTTTTAAAAGGCTTGCATTGAGATTTGAGAATGCTACTATAAAGGTATTCCAAGTAAAAAGTCGGAAATGTTCACCGTGCAGGATATTTCATATGAGCAAAATGAAAACAAACCATTTCATTTCCAGATATCAAATACACTTTAATCACGTTCTGTGGTGTTGGAAAAATTTCTTGATTTTCCTTATATTTCTTCACTTTTATCATTCAGCTATTTTTTTAATTATTATTTATTTATTTATTTTATTATTATTATTATTATTATTTTTTTTTTTTTTGGGGGGGGGGGGAGTTGTAATATCTTTTAACAGTTTTAATAGTTAGTGAATGTTTTTTTGCATGTAGGAAGTTTTGTTTTCATTCTTTTGCAGAAACATCAATGTTACCTTAGATATATGAATGTCGAGATAGAAGGGGGGGGGAGGGGGTGGGATGTCAAGTCATGTATTGTGGAACCTATCCTTTCTAGGGTTAATATTAATCTCAACTCCGAGTCTAGGTCAACGAGCTCACCTCTAGCTCTATGCACAAAGTGGCCCTTAGAGATTGGCGATATGCTAGTTAGTCCCTTAAAATATAACATGGTTGGGTTAGGTAAGAGTCATGACGTTCAGTCTACTCATCGTCTCCAGGGTTTTTACCATTTTGTTTCTTCAATCTCGACTCGAACTCTCGGTCTACAGGCTCACAGTCATGTATGCCGTAGAGAGGCTCTAAGAGGTACATGACAGTCATGTTGCTCTTTGTAAAGTGTAACATCAATGTGGCGGGGAGGGGGGGGGGGGTAGAGTCATGCCCTTACCCATCCTCTCTTGGGTTCTTACTAATTTCTTATCTCAACTGAGCAAAGTGACGCACTTAACTTAATGAACTCAATCAAGCTATCCGTTACTCATTACGTCCGAGACATAGGGTCATCTGATTAGGATGATGTCTTCCAATCGACCTTGTCCATTACCCCCCTCTTAACTCCAGCAGTTAGTCCCTCTGTGGCGGTAAGCCTCTAAAGGCTGGTATGACTAGCCCTTTTATCGACCAGATTTCATCTGAATTATACATACTGTTACTCCTTAGGAGTTCTGTCCCTCTTTGACTGCAGGTCTGTAAAGAAAGATATGACCAGATTTCCTCTGCTGCATAGAGCTTCTTCTCACAGGAGTTGGGCCTCTCTTTTAAAGAATGATATGACTAAAAATGTGTCCAATTATCGATCAGTTTTCCTTGGGTTTTAGATCCTTGCCTTCTTTTACTTGCTGTACTGTAGGTCTCTAAATAATTACATGACGACCTATGTTCTTGTGCCTATGTGCCTTTCAAAGAGTTAGTCTCCTTATGGCTGCAATACCATGAATAAAGATTTGACAAACTTTCTCCTTTTCAAGTTTCTTTCCTCTGCCGTAGATCTTTATCCCTTGAGAAGTTCAGTTCCGTTGAAACTATTGGGGACTCATTCTGTAAGATTTGACATGATATCGTTTGAATATTACCCTTCCTACAGTCCCGCTGGAACTGCTAGTCTCTGGAGACTAAATTGACTTATTTTTTGTTTTCGTCATTTCTACCTTGTGCTGAAGAGACTTGTAATCATGTTCACAGTCCCTAGGAATGAAATAACTAGTCGTGTATTGACCTCCATTATGTTAAAAAGACGTTCAGTCCCCCTTAGACTGTACGTTTCTAAACAATGACTTGACTAACCATGTCTTCTCGCCCTTCTTCTTCCTCTTGCTGTAGATCCTTCGCAAGCACGTCATGGTTCGGGTCGGAGGAGGCTGGGACACCCTGACTCACTACCTGGACAAACATGATCCATGCAGATGTATAGGTTAGTAGCCTAATGAGACATTAAGCGCAAGGGTTCAAAGCTAGATTGATGCTCTAGCATTGATGATAAACAATTACAGTTTCTAACAAAAAAAAATATATTAGACCTAGCTCAATTTACGACACCTTACATGTTGTCAGAAAAAGTTTATTTGAGAAAGAACTGAAATAACGAAACTGACCATTGAATCCCCCCTTTAAAAAAAGAAAGTTGTACACAGTTATGAAAGGAAGAAAGATTTGTTGCTACTATTTATGTATATTGAACTCTTCCATGCCTCGTGATAGTCATTCTGAAGTGGGCAGTCAGGTGTTGTAGTATAATGTTCAGACAAGTCCAATAAATATGTTTTTGTTTTCGTCTGGATTTTTCACAAAATTCCTTTTATTTTTACACCTCCAGCGCACAAAAAGAATCAACGACGGAGTACCGCCGGTGCAGACTTCGGACCAAGAAGCCCCAAGAGAAAGTGAGTTGATTGAGTTAATTCTGAGGTTATGTTTTTAGTACACAAAATCGGTAAATGCAGCAAGGAGAATCTATTTTCCAGATCATAGATATATCTTATTAGTCATGTGTTCAGTTTATATTTGCCTATTAAATCATGTAAATCGTTGCGTAGTCAATTGCGTAATTTTGAATTGAATTAAACGTTTGAATGCATACTAAGACCTGTTTTTATTTGCCATTTCAGGAGTTCTGTGAAGCCATCTGATGTCTACCACGCCCTCAACGGCCAGAGTTCAGATGGTACTACCTCTCCTACAGAGAGTGGAACCACCCGATCCAACTCACCAACCACCTCTCCGAACCGTCGTGTAAAACCTGACGTCCGACCTCGAAGCGCAGTCATGTCACCTCCCAGACGACAGAGCAACGGAGATACATACCGTCCAAATAGCCTGAACCTCGGTGTCAGGAACAGTCCACGAAACAGTCCACGTCCGTTGCGCAGAGGAAACAGTTTTGATTCCTCACCGAAGTTTGTGACATCACCAGACTCTAGCGACACTTACAGTAATTCTGACCTTGGTGGTCATGTCACCCCGACAAAGGACTCTACTTTGAAACGAAACCATAGTCGTTCCAACCCACGTAAGGTGACACCTGATTCTGATAGTACTGCTTATAGCGAAACAGTGCCTATGAGCGTCGGGAGCCCCCTCCGAAGAAGGAACTCAACGAAACAAGCAACATCGAACAGTAACAAGACATCTCAGACAGCGACAGAAGAGTTCATGAGGCGCAAACGTCAGCAAGCTAGAGCACAATCCGTGCAGGGAGCAGACTGTAAGCTTGAGCGTGAATCATGTATCCAGAGTGCACCGACCAGCCCCACCAGGAGACGTGGCAACCCTTTGAGCAGTAGCATGAGATCAGCAAGCAGGCCACGCGACTTGGTCAAGCGGGCTGCTGTAGGTGCAGCTGATGAAAGGCGAATGGAAAGCGGTGGTGCCCGGGAGTCTCGTGGAAAGACTGTTAAGACTACGGGTGATTCTAAACTACCAGTAAGAGAATACAGCCCGAGTCCGAGTTTAAGTCGAAGAAGTTCAACTCCTGGTGGCCTCTCGCGGAAGTCACGCGCTCAGTCAGCTAAGACGAGTAAGGAAATGGACAAAAGGCGTCTATACAGTTCAGAGGAACCTGTTATGATGATCAAGCGTGATGATGATGGAAGACATCGAGTGGACAGCACCAGCAGCTGCGAATCTAATGGCAGTAGTGTCAAGTCTGGCTCAAGAAGCCTGAGTGGTATACCCAGTAAAAGACTCTCTGAATCCAACACAAACAAGAAGAGGTATAGAAGTATATCCGTAGACAGATCTAACAGTAACTCTGATCAATTTGGTGCTGCTAGCGAACGCAGGAGGAGCTTGTTTGAGCGAACACACACTGATCGTACACACAGCGATCGTACAAACACCGATCGTAGAAAATCTCTCGATCGGTCAAACAGTGGTTGCAAGAAACCTTCGGTAGAACGCCCGTCTCTGCAAGTACAAAGAGTACGTTCGGAAAACGTCCAACCAAGATCTAGGTCACTGTCCCGCGATTGGCAGACCAACAGTCTTCGACTCCCCAAGACGAGCAGCAACAGGTCGCAACATCCTCTATCGAGGAGCTCATCTGCACGGGGTAGTCCTGTCCGCCGACGACGATCAGACATTCCACTCACACCCAACCATCTACGACCTGACTCATGGGACAATGGAGCAACTGCAAGTGTACCACCAACATCAACTCGGTCTCGACTCAGACCACCCACAGCCATTCCGTCACACCTGAAACCTGACCATTCTTCCATGACATCAGTCAGATCAGACACCCGTCGTGACAGTCGCCCAACAAGAATCCCCTTACCTTCCGGTCACAAGCGCCTCCTGGAAGCCCAAAGCAGATCCAGATCCAACTCACTCCCGACCATCCTTGCGGATCTCCTGGAGGCTTGGCAGACTGTTCAGAACAGCACCCGACAGCTTCAGAACATGGATCCCTTTGACATGTCACCGTGTCGAAGCAGTGAAGGTGATTCCATCTCCCCGACATCCTCAGTCCGCACAGCACCAGACCTCAACCATGACTCAGGCTACGAAGACAATGCTAATATCCTCAAGTTCTCACCAAATCTTAACAATCATCATCCCGTACTTCCCTCTATCGATTCCACTGAGAATTGATCAGATAGACCAATGACATTGATCCTTCCTATCTGTTACTATTATTTCTCACAAGCTGCTGATTAAGGTCCTCACGCTAGAGTACTCATCTGTTTCACCAAGCGCTTAAAGGTAATATAAAGTTTTGGGAAATTTGAAAATTGGGTGGAAAGTGATTCTTTACAATTTTGATATATTTGGATGCCCCTGTAGATGTATTATAAGCACAAGAAAAATTAGCCCCTAAAACACTTCTCCTTTCGAGAAAAATTGAATATAAAAATTTACCGGTGCTCCCGGTAAATTTTGATAAATTTCAAATAGCGCCTACGGCCGTACAATGGTAGCTGCGACTATGAAAATCTCAGAATATGTAGTTGTGATATATAATTTCCAAACGGGAATAGCTAATTGGTCGATTTTAGTCAAGAGAGATAGTTTTATAGCTTAATTAATATCTTGACCTTGAGAGGGAGCTATATAACATAAACAGTTTATTATTTACAAGTTCATAAATTTAGACTCGATTGCAACCGCAACAACGATCCCTGAATATTGTAGGACCACATTATGCGTCCAATATGTTCATTGGAACCAAATTCATGACCCCTTACCAAAACTTTGTATTACCTTTAAGACCATGTGAAGTCTTAAATTGTTGCAATTGTAGAAGCGCATCTGTGAAGTTTCTCTTGGCGTAGCTTTAAGATAAAGATTATTGTATAGATAAAAGAATATTATTTATTTTGATCCAACGTGTAATAACGTATATGTGATGTGTGATGTATGTGCTGTCATGTTATTAATAAATGTAAACGAGCTTTCCTAGATGTTATAAAGTCAAGCATAAGAAGTGAGTTTATGTATTGTACACGTATGTAAAACAGGTAGAGACATAATGTCTCCTATGAACAGAGCGAGTTTAATCAGAAAGAAAGAAAGGTCCCGCCATTATTCCCTCGTTTGTGCCTTGATTCTAAATCTTGAGGCATGACGTAATGATATGATAATGTCCCGGATGATATAAAAGAAGACTAGGAATCCTAGATAGAAAGTCAAAGGTTTGATAAGAAAAGTTTGAGAATATAGAGAGGAAAAGGATTTTCCAAGTACTGGTATTGTAATTTTACCGCTATAGGCTGGTTAGGAAAATGCCCGATATACTATGTAGATACGTATTACCTGAAGAAAGGTTTTAAGAATAGAGGAATTCCAGAATTAATGAGTTCATGGCTAAATTGTAGATAATGGAAAGGATGAAGGTCATCATTACAATATTATCCTCATCACTGTGTAGAAACATTATAACGACTCGAAAAAATGAAAACAAATAATTAGCTACATCATAAAAATCTATTTAAACAAAATATGATTACAAGTTCATATTGAGGCCTAATTTTCAAAATGAAGAAAGAAGTATGTTGATTATGATGATAGCTTTATTGTATTTTAAAGTCATAATTTTGAGAACGCAGTGAATTGTACGTGTATTGCATTGTACCTGGTATGCAAATAGTGGTGGAGAAATAGTGAATTTATAGTAGGCCTAGTCCAAAGTTTGGTATATGTCTATTTAATCGAAAAGGCCTAAATGATGCTGCGCTGCATACTTGTCATTAAACCAACACATTAGATCATTATTGCTCCTAACTTATATAGAACTTATCTTATATTAGAAGCATAGATCTATATTTCAGCAACCGTGTGCAAACCGGTAGATGTCATAAACATGCTCTTTCCGACTGCGCATTATCTGGAGCTATAATTCTACAATTACTGCTTGACATTCCACGCGCGGTGTTGTTATCCATTCTATCCTTTAGGTTAAAGCGTATACTATATTTAAATATCATGTTTCAAAGACTATGCAAATGAGTATGAAAAGGATTAAGAAAGTGCCTGCTAATTGCTTTTTAGTTGGCTTTGAAATTTTCTTTCTTTTTGGAGCTGAGTTTTGTAACAATCATTTTGACTTCCCTGTATACTTCCGTACATTTTGATTAATTATATATTTTGGCTGAAACGTAGTGAGGATACGTCATCCGATCGTGGTGTTATAATTTTTAATGAGATACATGCATTTTCTTTGGAAATACTGGAGATGTTGAATTATGGTTTGAAACTGAAGATTTTTCTTGTTTTTATCCGTTTTGAGGCAATAGAACGTATAATTGGCGATGTAAGAAATGAGTTGTTATATTGATTTGTATAAATGTATATACAATATTGAAATAAAGATTTATGAAGATGTGTTTATGAGTAAAGCAAAACTTGTCAAAGGCGAATTGAAGGAGAATAACAGAACGATTGTCTGTATGTTGATTGTGTTTATTAAAATATTGTTGTACTTTATATGTAGATATATTATGGTATATATTGTTCTTGTAGATTTTTCTTTACTTTTGCTGTTTCTTTCCATTTTGTTATTTTGCAGTTGTGTAGATTATTTTTCATTATGTTATGACTTTTGCTTGTTTGTTTGTTTTTTTCTCTAAAGTTTTGTGTATATCTTTCACTGTACTATGCAGGTAACGTCAGTTAATATATTCTTCAAATATATCCCTGTTTAAAGAAATAAGTGAACGTCTGTAAGACCCTTAATCATGTTTAAACATTATTAGATAACTATACGCATCATTGTAGTTTTATATAGCCTTTAAATATCTATGAATATGTAAAAACATTTGGCATCAATTTCCTATTTTTAAATCTAGCGGATTAACTATTCATTATATGCCCCATTCCCTAATTGCTAGATAATAGCAACCAGATATTTAAAAAGTAGTGATTTTTTAAAGTTTAGTTACCCGTATGTTTCTGAACAAATTTAATATAGATCGAATATGTTCATATTCCACTTTGTTTGTTTTTTCTCACTAAATTGATTTTAATTTGAATGGTCTTTAAGATTATTTCCTCCAGTCAAGATTCATAGAAATTTCCTGCTATTGTATTAAATGTCATTTATCTCAAAAAATAATTTATTTGTTGTCTGTACTGTCCTTAACTATGAGTTAAAAAGAAGTATAACTTCAACTTTTGTTCTACTCGATATTTCTGTTTGTTGTTTTGTCATGTATGTTACGAAGCATCGTCTGAAATAAATATGCTGGCCTAAAGATGAATCTTGATTTGTTTTGTTGTTTATTTTGTATATTGTATAGTGTATACGATATAAGACGCCCACCGCAAACATGGTAAACTAAACGATCCGGCTTGGGTTCGATCTTAGAAGACCTCTCAATACCACTAGATTTTGATATTTTGACAAACAAATTCTACCGGATTTTGAATGGTAATATGAATACTAAACATCGAAATGTTGGTATAAGCTTTCTGGTCGGAGATAAAGGTAAAATCGGCTTTAAGTCAAACATTATTGCGCTACGATTTGGTGCCGATTTGGACCTTAAACACAAAAATGCCCACAACGCGCCATTATCTCGAGTTTTACCCCCGGTTTTACCATATGACTACATGATTATCTCTTCATTCGTAAATATTTCATATATTTGCATTTCCACATAAAATGATGAAGCATTGTCTTACAAAACCATACTCTAGTCGGATCGTACAATGTGCTATGACCTCTTTCGGGACAATTGTATTTATAAGGCGCTAGGTCCGATTATTGACACGCATATTAAAGTGATTTTGATCATGTTTCAACTAAATGCAAACAATCTTACTACCACTCACAACTGAAATTACCACTTCCAATTTCACCATAAAAAGGAACAGAGTCTGACACGACTTTTGATATGTATTTTATATTGTTATTTTTATTACATATCTTGAAACTAATATAAAACATTTAAACGAATGATTTTAATATCTCATTCATTTCCTTTTAACTTTACATTTCGATTTGATTTCAGCAGAAGCATAGATACTATTTTACATTTAAAAATGAAATAACACAGAGTCATTACACAATTCTGCGTACAGCAAGATAATCAGGAAAAAAGATATCATGCTTTAATGAGATGAAATATGAACATATTTGAATAAAATCACATCATATATTCTGTGTGCGTTTGACAAAAAGAAAAAAATGGAACAAAAAACCGTTAAGATATTGTACGGTATATATAATTTCAAAAACCCAGAAAGAACATCTTACATCATGGTGCGAACAGATAATGACTTTAATTGAAAGATGTATCAATGCTTTCTTTCTATGCATCTCAAATATTTGCAGTTTATTATACGAATATATATTTAAAGATCATGGCTTTTGGTAGGCTACCTCACACCTTTCTATATATTATACTTTGATTTCAACGGCCATTCCAAAGGCAATTTTCAAATAATTCCAAACTGCTCATCTGCTATACACATAATATGAGTTACTGAAGCATCCAGTTTCCCGTGAATAGTATTATTTCTATCACGCACATTTCACCCGATGTCAACAAAATAATTTATTTTTAATTAAATATGACTCTGTACTATAAGTTATTTCATCCTTCTAAATTTCCTGCATTCTCTTATGATTAGTATAGTCTCAGTAAAGATTATTATGTTATCTTCTTGTAAAGCGCTCATTTCCGACACCATTGAATCTAAATGCGTCCCCGATGTTATTAATTATATTTCAGCCAACATTGTTATACCGAATGTGGTGCGCTTATCACTCTGACCAAGACCCTGTTTTACCAAACATGTTATCAATAACAAGTTACAATGACTGTTATAAGCTACTGAAATCGTAGCTTTTGATTGGCTGAGAACACAAATTGTCATACAAATTTAGCATTTGTTATTAATAACAAGTTTTATGAAACAGGCCTCGTGTATAATTACCACAATTGAATAAAAAGGACTGACCATTATCATTTTTGTTACCATCTTATTCGTTTACTTCATTCTTTCTCCACGCTCAACGTTCCTCCTCTTCTAACTATACTCTTTGATCTTTATATATTTCTTCGGTGTTAACACCAGTCTCATTTAAACTCTGTTCTAGTATAATTATATATAAATAAATAAATCTATCCTTCTACGTCCTAAGAATTGTATTCAGCCTTATCTGATTCTTGTTCTGAAATATGAATTCGAAATACAACACAGGATTAATCAATCTTAATTTAAATTTTAAATATGTTTTTTAAAGGATGCATAACTAATCAATTTGTATAAAAACATGTCTTTCCTATAGACTAAACAGACTAACTAAAATTGGGTATATACCCATTATTTCGATACGAAATAGTTGTAAAGATAGGAAACGGGTAAAATAATATTCCAAAGTTGGGTCTGCATAGAGGGTAAAAACAGAGGTCAGCAGCGAATCTCTGAAACAATTACAAAAGCAATATATCAAATTCTGATAATATACGCTAGATGCAATATGATCTATCTACATTGTATAGTCATTACAAAAGTCGTTTATATACATATTCATAAACTATATATTCCTGAAACTACACAAGTCATGAATGATTATACGTTTAAGAACTGACTATGACTATCATACTTCCACTGTGCTCGAGCGTCTGTCGTCGTATTGTAAATTATCGCCGCGTGAATTTCGCTGTGTTACCGCCATCTCGCGTTGCATCTTCTCCAGCATAACTTGCATCTGTCTCAGTTCGACCTCTTTTTGCTCCAGCATTCGGTCTTTTTCGGCGACTTCGTCGAAGACTCCCGAGTCACGTTTGAGTTTGCTGATAATAGCAACAGAGAATATTTAAAATTAGGCATAGCCAATAAATATCTGCAAAGAAAGATCTAGAGGTGTACAGGATTATTTTGCAAGGTGGGGGGGGGGGGGGGGAGCTAATGTCTTTTGCCCGAAAATCATCATTAAGGAATCGAGCAATATTCGGGCTTTTTTTTTTAGAGCGAAAACGTTCCTTTGTCATAAGAATACACTTATCAAGAAACAACATTTACAAACAGAATATGTTTTGTTAATTGAATGCGAGGTGGTTGGAATTTTTTTTTTTAAATCCGAATTGTCAGGGTATGTAATTCCCGTCCAATCCGTGAAAAGGCCAAAATCAATTTGATTTTTAATTCATCATGATAATGATTGCAGATTTTTACTAAACTTTGAGGTGAAAACGCGGCTTTGATAAATAAAGTGCGTCTTTAAAAAATAACTACCGAGAAGATCCTTTTGGAAACATATAGTATATTTATATGTTTCCAAAAGGAACAAGACCATGAGATACACAAAAGAAAGAACAAACGTTAACCCAATGGGTATACTGAGACAGATAGAAGAATGATAACAGACTCACAACAAAATGTTTGAATAAGTAGCCAGATATAAAGAGAAATCGATAAAGAAGGGATTGGGAGTAAGGGAGGAGTGAGACAGAGAGAGAGAGAGAGAGAGAGAAGGGGGTAGAGAGTGAGCTACTAGTGGGTATATAGAAAGAAAGAGAGAACAACAACAACAAAGAAGAAGAAATGAAAAGTAATGGGAAATTTGTTTACTGATGATTATCTTTAGGTAATCTTCATAGGATGAAACTAGGGGTAGAAGAATATTTACTCTAGTTATATTGCAGAGTTAGCATTATGGCATTCTAATGTGGGATAGTACAGATACAAGTCTTACAGAAATGAAAGTTAAGATGACGATGAGGGCGACAAACAGATAAATAACTCAGCAAACGATACATGGTATACGTTATAAATTGTTATCATATAACGATAAGCACTAATAACACGAGAAAATGATCAATTAGCTAATTTTAATGTTTAGTTTTGTTATCTTTACTAATTCTTTCAACTTCTTTCGTGTCTCACCCTTCCTCCATCTACTAGCTTCCCATATCATATTACTACTCTTCCTTAACATTCCCTCCACCACTATCAACGAATTAGTCCCTTCAAGAATCTCGATTATATATAATTATTACACAGAAATACAAATCGACAGAAGACAAAAGAGTTTGTTAGGTTTTATAAGTAATCGATATAAAGTAAGTCACAAAATGAATGATATTCTTTGATTCTATGATCGGTTAATTGTGTCTTTAGTAATATATAGGCCTTCGATAAAACATAAAGTAAACAGTTTGATACCTTTCATTCTTGCTGTATTAAAAACAATGAAAATAAAATAAAACATCAGATCATGGTTGAATATATAGAAAGTATGAGAATTATAAAAACTATAAAAACAATACGAGTTTTTACGCCAGAGTAAACATGTATTTTTAATGTCATTTGTAATGTCATTTTGAAGAGGATCTGGGCTACTCTTATTACAAGTAGCGTCAACTGTGATAATTTATTAAGATCAAAATTATAAAATATATGTTAAAGGTAATACAAAGTTTTGGGAAATTTTGAAAATTGGGTGGATAGTTATTCTTTACAATTTTGATACATTTGGATGCCCATGGGGATGTATATTAAGCACTAGAAAATTTAGCCCCTAAAACAATTCTGCTTTCGAGAAAAATTGAATATAAAAATTTACCGGTGCTCCGGTAAATTTTGATAAATTTCGAATAGCGCCTACGGCCGTACAATGGTAGCTGCGACCATGAAAATCTCAGAATATGTAGTTGTTATATATCATTTTCAAACGGGAATAGCAAATCGGTCGATTTTAGTCCAGAAAAATTGTTTCATAGCTTAATTAATATCTTGACCTTGAGAGGGAGCTATACAACATAAAGAGTTTAATATTTACAATTTCATAACTTTAGACTCGATTTAAACCGCGACAACGATCACATAATATTGTAGGATCGCATATGCTTCCAATATGTTCATTTGAACAAAATTCATGACCCCATACCAAAACTTTGTATTACCTTTAACATCTGTCGTGAGTTTGTATTAACTATTTAAAACAGTCAACGTTTCCATTTCCAAAGGGGACGTGTTTCTTTGTCAGAACATTTTGTCATGCTGTGTTGATCTTATATTCAAGATGAAATGAAACCTGATTGTCCCCTATCACTTAAGAAATTAGATATCGACCCAAATTATACTCTTCAGGTCGTTATGAACTTTGGAGGCATATCCGGGTCGTGCATGCCACCTTTTAAGATACTAAATAGACTTTCGTACGCAAAAGAAAAAAGTACCCTTAGTTTTGTTTGTCCCTTTCAATTTTAGATTCAAAGGGAACCTGATAATGTCAATCATATCCTGTCCTCCTACCTTTTTCTTATCCGGGTGAGTTTGTAATTCTAAGCCTTTTCTTATCCTACTAAGATTATAGTTTTCATAATATTTTACTATCATTTGAAAGTAATTTCAATATTTAAATGTAGACCTTTAATGTTCTATCATTATCCTGACATCCTATTTACTTTCCCAGGTGATTTATATAATTCCAACCTTTTTTTAATTATCCTGCTAAGATTGTAATTTTCATATGAGTTTACTATCATTTAATAGAATTTTCAAAATGTAAATACAATAATAAATTATATAGAATTAAAACTGTTCCATCATCGCCTTATACCCTCACCTTCTTTCCCGATGGAGTTGAGTTCCACCTCCTCTTATCCTTCCAAGACGGTAGTTCTCATAATGTACATCACGTGTTACATCCTTCAAGTCTTGCATGTGTGTCCTGTATTCAAAGACGCCAATATATATTATTATGGCGATAATCTATTACCATATATGCTTTCCTTATGCAGAGGAGACGTAAGAACATCGAATGAGGGGTAAAACCTTGCCAAAACTTTGTCGACAACAAGAGTCGTAAGTATTTGGAAGAGGGGGGAAAACTCGCCAAAACTTTATCGACAAGAATAAAACAAAGCACCCCGTATGTCGTACACTTTGCTGATAAGGGTTAACAAATATCATCAGTAATTGACTTAACCAACAAATTATTTTGAATTAGCCCCTCCCCTTTAGACTGAGAGAGGGATTGTGTTACCCTCTACCACTACCTCTCAGGTTAGCAATGCCCCTGCCCTCGTGCTTCAAGCCTGTCACAACCTGACAACAACAACAATTTATTTGGATGAGGAGAAGGAGGGAGATGGGAGAGGGGGGGGGCTGGAGGAGGTGTTGGCTGTGTAATTACGTTCACCTTAGTTTAAAGCCTGTCTGCACTAGTTTGGTCAGGAGGGATTAGACCTCCCTACATAGTCACTGACAGGTGGTTATCTCATCAAATCAGCTCTCAATTAACGTAAGAAAAAGGTGACCATGGGGGGACCAATGGTCGCTGATTAGGCATTGTTTGCTATATAGAGGGCGCAAGTAGTAAGTAGTGCAACGGGGCTTTAATAGCAAATTAAAAAAATACAAGCGGGGAAGTGGTTACTGGTTGACACAATTATAATTTGGATTGTTGTTTGTCATTTCGTGTTTGTTCGTGTTTGTTCGGGCTTGCGGTCGTAACTCCAACTACAGTAGACAATAGACATGGAACTCCTTTCTTTGCAACATGGATACAATAGATATTGATCATGACATACCTGATGAGCATATTCCTGAGCTTGACGAAGTCACAATGCTTCGGGTTCTCCACTGCATTAGAAGGAACAGAATACATTAGCTTTACAATTTACAGTGTTCTTAGCAAAATTGTTTTAATGAAATAATTATATTTTCTTGAAACGAATTGCATTGATTCTTTACGTGTTTGTTGTGTGTATCAGTTTCTATGTTTTTTGTTTCATTTGTAGTCTATTTATTTTGTAAGTTGTAAATCAAATTATAAATTGATTTTGAAAATATTTCACATATCTGCATAATTGTTTACATTTGCAATATTTGTATTTGTTTAGTATTACATCATTAATTTTTTATCCATTATTTTATTTCCCATTCATATACAGGTATTAATACATATGTGTGTCAATCTAACTAGATAATCAATCAATCGATTAATCCACCAATCAATCAATCTATCTATCTATATATCTATCTATTCATATATCTATCATTCTATCTTGTAATCATAGCATACCTTCCGTAATACCCCATGGATATAATCTCCCCCTAACTCTCCTCCCGTTCACTTCGACTACTGTGTTGCTACCGATGACTGCAAATGGAATGCTGGCCTGTCACAAATAAAACAGAGCAGTACAATATTAATTGTATTATCATCATAATATAAAAATAACATGTAATTGGAAGATATTCCTACTATTGAAACTAAGTTACATACATTTTAGTCATTATGATGCAATTTTATTTGATGTGTGCAATAAGTGCAGTCTAACCTATTGAATACTATAGTAAGCACGCCCTCTAGATGCATCAAGTCAGGATGGCCGAGCGGTCTAAGGCGCTACGTTCAGGTCGTAGTCTACTCTGTAGGCGTGGGTTCGAATCCCACTTCTGACAAAAACTTTTTTCAAATTTTATCTGAACCCATAAGTCAATTAAACCACTTTCTTTCTTTTTCTACACAAAACCGCATCTAAATTATGTGCAAAAAAATGAAAATTTAAAATTCATCACTAAAAAAACAAAATGGTGCACCCATAAGAATCAGCTTTTGCTGCTATTTATAAGATATGGATGAAATGAATGAAAACAGTTATATTTCCTTGTAGACATTTTGATCGATATACGAAATTTCTGTGATCTTTACATGTCCTAAAGCCTCTACTTTAAGTGATTGCAAGAAGTAATTGCAATCGATAAAAAGAGTGACCGACTTGTCCTCATTCTATATATTAACCCATGTTTATCTCATGTCATAGCTTCTATCGAGTAATACCTTGAGTTCTTGGTCTTGTTTCTTGAAATCTTCGTCTTCATCAGACTCACAATCAGGGAATGCATAGATACCTATCTCATGCTCGGATATCTCACGTAATACCTGGTATGGATAGATGGAGAGAGAGAGACAGAGACAGAGAGAGACAGAGAGAGACAGAGAGAGATAGAGACAGAGAGAGAGAGAGACAGAGAGAGAGAGAGAGAGAGACAGAGACAGACATAGACAGAGAGAGACAGAGAGAGAGACAGATAGAGACAGAGAGAGAGAGAGAGAGAGAGAGAGAGAGAGGAGAGGGTGAAATATGGTATTAATAAGAATGATATGCATGATAAATTATTGAAGTAGTCTTGACTAAAATTAGGAAGAAACGTTCCCTAACTTCAAACATTCTTTACATGGCATTGGTTTGAACTTTGTCAAACACAGAACTTTCTAGACTCACATAAATGCATTTAAAAATGATACCACTTTCTTCTTATGTCTCAACCCCATTTCTACCAGTCATGTTCTCTAATTCGCAATTTCTAAATAGTTAATATCATTGATGATAATGATAATATTTATAAAGCGCCTTTTCCAGGAGATCCAAGCGCTGTCCCTTAGTCAATCAACAAATTAAGCAGGATTGCAGAGGTATGTTTTCAAATGTTTTTGAAGGACACAAAGGACCAAAATCATTTCGTCGCGTTCGCAGTTACCTTCTCAAGTATGGAAACAATATCAGGATGAATCACAATGAATATCAAATATCAGGATTTTTAATATTTCAAATCAGTAGTGTGGATGAATATAAGATATTATTTCTCACTTTTGAAAACCATGGGAGCTGCCAATAATTCACTTACAATTCCAAACACCTTTTTTCTCTTCCTTCAACAAGCGCTATAATGGCAGTTAGGCTAAAGCAGGGGTAATAATAAGTGCGTCTCGAAATAGAATTTCTAGATTATCGGCAGTATAGAAATGCCTATTAATATTATCATCATTATTATTATCATTATTATTATTATTATTATTATTATTATTATTATTATTATTATTATTATTATTATTATTATTATTATTATTATTATTATTATTATTATTATTATTATTATTATTATTATTATTATTATTATTATTATTATTATTTTCATTCTTACCCTGTCTTTCATCCGCTTGACTTCAGTCTTGGTGAGACAGTCTGCCTTTGCAATGATCGGTACAATGTTCACTTTGTCGTGAAGCCGCTTCATGAACTCGATGTCTATTGGTCTTAATCTAAAATGAACAAGGATTCAGAGTCAAAATATACTAAAAATGTCGTGTCTTAAATTTCCTCTCTTAAGCCCATCTAATCTAGTTTTGCAAGGAGGGATTAGACCTCCCTGCATGGTTACTGATAGGTGATTATCTCATCAAATCAACTCTCAATTAATAAAAGAAAAAGTGGATCATGGGGACCAACGGGTACTGCTTAAGCATTGATTGATAATTATATAAAGGGCGCAAGTAGCTACAAGAAGTATTCAAGGCAATACTATGAAAGAAACAAATGCAATAAAATAAACTTGAACAAGATGTGGTGGAGTTTATCAGAATAAAAAGAATATTTCTGCGGAACAAGGTTCCAGGGACAAAATAATTTTCCTTATAAATCTTCATTTCTGTAAAAGTATATGTCAGAAGTGGGATTCGAACCCACGCCTACAAAGTAGACTACGACCTGAACGTAGCGCCTTAGACCGCTCGGCCATCCTGACTTTGATGAACCCAAATGGCGTGCTTACCAGAATATTCAATAGGATGGATTGCACAATTGCGACACATCAAATAATCTTTCGTCATATGAACAACCTATGGCAATGGCTTTCCATCCTATTAAAATCTTAACATACTCTCAATGCAGTGACATATTGTGATAAAACACTTTGTGCAAATTACCACAGGATTATAACAAAAAGGAAACCAAAACAATTAACAGGAAAATGAAATAAAGTTGAATATACTTGACATGAGGTGGTCGTTGCGGGAGCAAACATATAAATATGACAATAATAATGAGAAATCATAAAAGAAAATAATTAAGCAATTGGTCTAAAAGATATGTCAGAAGTGGGATTCGAACCCACGCCTACAGAGTAGACTACGACCTGAACGTAGCGCCTTAGACCACTCGGCCATCCTGACTCACTATTTCCTTTTTCAATATCATTCACACATAAAATAAATGACGTGACATTTCATCATAAAAGCTACGGTCATGACATTCTTACAAGGGTTAATTTCAAATAAACAGTTGATAATGACATTTAATCATAGTTTAATATACCCATCCTTGATTATCAAGTATTAGACCACAATGCCTTGGTCAATAATCGTACATGATAATGTTTATCATTTTTACTCTGGCTTTGTGTGTCTCTTTTTCCTATTATATTATAGTAAAGGAGTTTTTGTTTTTGTTTGCAATAAATAAATACATTATTCAAAACCATTCCAAAAGATATGTTGTCATGTTATCAGTTATGTTATCATTTATATGTCTTTATGTTCACTAAATAAAACCAATCAATCTATCAATCTTTATTCATTAATATATTATCATTGAAATGGTAATCGTGCATACAGCTTAAAATCGTTTATGATGAAAATTGATAAAGATGATCATTACCCATGTCCATAAGGTGAGATGAAATAGAGACAGCAGTGAACTCGATCATCGATGAGATTCTTTCTATTTAATCCACTCTCATCTCGGTAATACTGTTCGAACTTGCTCTCGATGTGCGAGATGATTGGACCCCAGCTACGATGGAAGAAAGAAAGAATGACAAAATAATTGTCATATTAAATATAAGCATCATACGTGCGAAAGATTACTTCAAATACAGATAAAATGTAGTTTACTCTTGATTTCCACATACCAACCACTATGTTATAGATTCAGCATTTGAATTAGGCCTACTATAAATTCTTGATTGGCATTTTCTTAGCTTTTGCATTTTTTCTTTCACTCACTCTACCCAAATCCCGAAACATTTTTGGTAATAGTTACCTGGAGGGGAGGGGTAGGGGAGTTAGGGTTACACAGCTTTCAAAAGAAAAGTTATGGGCCCATTCCCCCTTACTAAATGGCGAGTTCAAATGGAAGACCTATATAAGCGATTCTGATTGGTTGAAAGTTCAATTGTGTTCCTTCATTTTTAATATTGCGTTTCATTCGCGAAATATAGAATCGCCTAGTTAACAATAAACGGTTTTGCTTGAAATGGTGATCAAATTTCCTTTTGTAACATCATATAGATATATTGTGGGGATGGGGGAAGGGGAGGATGGGGAAGGATTGGGGGGGGGGGGTGAATGAACATACCTGTTTTCACTGTTGACAGAGTCTCCAAACCCTGGCGTATCAACCACTGTTAATCTTAATCTCACTCCTTGCTCTTCAATGTCTATCGATGATCGCTGTATCTCTGCTGTCTTATCTATACGCTCTGTCATGATACAAACAAACAAACAATCAGTCAAGCATACATATAAAAAACACCGCAGTTTAAAGTGAAATATCAAACATGCTGTGAACCTGTGATAACATATGCTCTTTCTTTTTCATGAAAACCAAGACAGTTTAAAAAGGATTGAATTCATTCATATTTTTTTCAAAATATGATAACCACTCCAACTATTATTATGAATCTATTCATACAAGACAGATCGTCATTGAGAATGTCTTTTCTCATTTGTTGGGTCTAATGATTATGTCGCTGTATTTCTTAAAGCTGCGATTATTGGTTGGAAAATTACAAAATAAGTAATTGGTAAGTAAACCTTACAGAGGAAAAAGAGGGGCAAAGGCAAATGAGATGAAGAAAAAGAGCGAAAGAAAAGAGGGGCGGACGAAAGCAATGCAAAGACAATTCCCTCACCACTCCCTAATCTCACTCAATGTAATTGTGCTCCGTTGTATATATCTTTTTATTCTGTTTTTACAACTTTGTCTTCATGTAGTTTGTCTTTGTTATGTTGATGTTTCCTTCTCTTCGACATACTTCTATCATGTTCTGATTTGATATTCATGATTATCGCATTATGTCATGATTTTATTTAAATAAACAAACGGTTTGAATATGAATTGGCACCTTTGTGGACCCCCCCCCCCCACATTGTCTGGACCCATGCTACGCCACTGCATGTCTGCTATTGATCTTTCGAAATGATTTAATGGCATTCTAACTGGAGACTGTCATGTTTCATGTTTTCATTTCTCTTAAAATAGCTTTCACGGTTCTGTGGGCTCGTCCTGGATAGGTTTCCTGTTTATACGAATGATTTAGTGACTTAGTCGTTTAGAAAAAGGCCAATCACCCTACCGAATCCTCCTCTCTATTTGCCATCTAATAGTAATGCTCGATTATCTGGTATTACTTTTGATTTAGAAAGCTTTGATAAATATAAATAAAATTATAATCATGAATATTGAAAGTATTTCTATACATTATTTAGTCAGAAAACGAATTATTTCCATAATTTACAGGACCGAGAGGAAAACCAAGAACTAACTGGGATGGGAACATGAAGACGTGGAGAGGAATGACACTGCAAGAGTGTACTAAGATAGTCGTTCAGATCGCTTATAAATGCCACTGTTTTCTCTCACCATTTACTGGCATTGGTTTACTTTTTTTGATAGTTACATCATCGGAAGAAAAAAATATTGTTTAAAGATCAAAGCAACATGATCAACCAGTCAGGATGGCCGAGCGGTCTAAGGCGCTACGTTCAGGTCGTAGTCTACTTTGTAGGCGTGGGTTCGAATCCCACTTCTGACATATACTTTTACAGAAATGAAATAATAAGGAAAACTTCAAGCCGTTTGTTTAATTTTACTTTACTTTTTTTACTCTGAATAATTCTAAAAATATACACTAACCCACTTTAGGAAAGGTTGGTAGATTTTGTGAAAGGGCTGTCGACAGCATTAGTCAGTTAACAAGCTACCGCAAAAAAGTTAGTATTACTCTTATTGGTAAATAGTATATACACATTGGAGTTAATTGAAATTTAATTTAATTTTGTCCTTTACGTAACAGAGACATGAATCACTACATTGAGATAAGATTATTCAGTCTCGTAAATTGGTTTGTTTAAATGAAGATTTAGAGTACTTTTCAAATCTAAACCTGTCTTGAATCAATATAATTGACCTATAAAGAAACGATTACATGTTTTACAGTATTTTGCACGTCATTCGCTTTTCTATTTTGTTTAATCGTTTTTGCAATAATCCTAGAAAACTCGTTTAGCTATTACTACCTACGATTAATGTTATAATATGACAAACTTAATAGTGCGAAAAACGAGCAACGGTCTAATTGGAAGAATGAATACTGTAATAATTCAAAATGTCAACAAAATCATTATAAAAATGATAAATTAAATGGTCCACTCACTGCTGCTTAGGAAAAGCAAGGACAGGATAAATTATTAAAGTACCATCGGAGTGTTACAAGAAAATCAATGCATTACATTCAAAAGAACAGATTACATGTCTCATTAATCTGATCCAAGTCACAATTATCATGATACATGTAGATAAGTCAGGATGGCCGAGCGGTCTAAGGCGCTACGTTCAGGTCGTAGTCTACTCTGTAGGCGTGGGTTCGAATCCCACTTCTGACATACCTTTTAGACCTATTTTTTTAAATAATTATTTCCTTTTTAAAAATAATTTCTCATTATTACTGTCTTTATGTTTATGTTATACACCTGTATATAATATATCCTTGTTTTCCTCCACGACAACCACCTTACGTCAAGTATATCCAAAATGTTGTTAATTTTATTTTGTGTCGTTACAATCCTGTGGTAATTTGCGCAAAGTGTGCTATCACAATATATCACTGTATTAAGAGTATGTTAAGATTTTAATAGGATGGAAAGCCATTGCCATAGGTTGTTCATAATTATGACGAAAGTTTATTTGATGTGTCGCAATTGTGCAATCCATCCTACTGAATATTCTGGTAAGCACGCCAGTTGGGTTCATCAAAGTCAGGATGGCCGAGCGGTCTAAGGCGCTACGTTCAGGGCGTGGTCTACTTTGTAGGCGTGGGTTCGAATCCCACTTCTGACATATGTTTTAGACCTACTGTTTAAATTTTTCCTTTTATAATTTCTATCATTATTGTCATATTTGACACCTCTTGTCAATTATATCCAACTTTATTTCATTTTCCTGTTCGATTGTTTATTTCATTTTATGTTATTGTTGTTATAATCCTGTGGTAATTTGCACTAGGTGTGCTATCACACCGTATGTTTAAGGTATTGAAAGTATGTTAAGAGTATAATATGATCAAAAGCCATCGCAAAAACATACATAGTGAGTCAGGATGGCCGAGTGGTCAAAGGCGCTACGTTCAGGTCGTAGTCTACTCTGTAGGCGTGGGTTCGAATCCCACTTCTGACATATCTTTTAGACCTATTTTTTTAAATAATTATTTCCTTTTTAAAAATAATTTTTCATTATTACTGTCTTTATGTTTATGTTATACACCTGTATATAATATATCCTTGTTTTCCTCCACGACAACCACCTTACGTCAAGTATATCCAAAATGTTGTTAATTTTATTTTGTGTCGTTACAATCCTGTGGTAATTTGCGCAAAGTGTGCTATCACAATATATCACTGTATTGAGAGTATGTTAAGATTTTAATATGATGGAAAGCCATTGCCATAGGTTGTTCATAATTATGACGAAAGTTTATTTGATGTGTCGCAATTGTGCAATCCATCCTATTGAATATTCTGGTAAGCACGCCATTTGGGTTCATCAAAGTCAGGATGGCCGAGCGGTCTAAGGCGCTACGTTAAGGGCGTAGTCTACTTTGTAGGCGTGGGTTCGAATCCCACTTCTGACATATCTTTTAGACCTACTGTTTAAATTTTTCCTTTTATAATTTCTATCATTATTGTCATTTTTGACACCTCTTGTCAATTATATCCAACTTTATTTCATTTTCCTGTTCGATTGTTTATTTCATTTTATGTTATTGTTGTTATAATCCTGTGGTAATTTGCACTAGGTGTGCTATCACACCGTATGTTTAAGGTATTGAAAGTATGTTAAGAGTATAATATGATCAAAAGCCATCGCAAAAACATACATAGTGAGTCAGGATGGCCGAGTGGTCTAAGGCGCTACGTTCAGGTCGTAGTCTACTCTGTAGGCGTGGGTTCGAATCCCACTTCTGACATACCTTTTAGACCTATTTTGTTAAATAATTATTTCCTTTTTAAAAATAATTTCTCATTATTACTGTCTTTATGTTTATGTTATACACCTGTATATAATATATCCTTGTTTTCCTCCACGACAACCACCTTACGTCAAGTATATCCAAAATGTTGTTAATTTTATTTTGTGTCGTTACAATCCTGTGGTAATTTGTGCAAAGTGTGCTATCACAATATATCACTGTATTGAGAGTATGTTAAGATTTTAATATGATGGAAAGCCATTGCCATAGGTTGTTCATAATTATGACGAAAGTTTATTTGATGTGTCGCAATTGTGCAATCCATCCTATTGAATATTCTGGTAAGCACGCCATTTGGGTTCATCAAAGTCAGGATGGCCGAGCGGTCTAAGGCGCTACGTTAAGGGCGTGGTCTACTTTGTAGGCGTGGGTTCGAATCCCACTTCTGACATATCTTTTAGACCTACTGTTTAAATTTTTCCTTTTATAATTTCTATCATTATAGTCATATTTGACACCTCTTGTCAATTATATCCAACTTTATTTCATTTTCCTGTTCGATTGTTTATTTCATTTTATGTTATTGTTGTTATAGTCCTGTGGTAATTTGCACTAGGTGTGCTATCACACCGTATGTTTAAGGTATTGAAAGTATGTTAAGAGTATATTATGATCAAAAGCCATCGCAAAAACATACATAGTGAGTCAGGATGGCCGAGTGGTCTAAGGCGCTACGTTCAGGTCGTAGTCTACTCTGTAGGCGTGGGTTCGAATCCCACTTCTGACATACCTTTTAGACCTATTTTTTAAATAATTATTTCCTTTTTAAAAATAATTTCTCATTATTACTGTCTTTATGTTTATGTTATACACCTGTATATCAGGGGCGTAAATCCCGGGGGGGATGGGGGGGGGGGGCTGCATCCCCCTGGCTTGAAGTAGGGTGGATGGCCTGTACAATCATCCCCCCCCCCTGATATTACAAAACAAAGAGAGAAAAAAGGAAGAAGAAGAAAAAAAAAAATTTGTGATTGTTTCAATTTCAGCATATTGCATGAGAAATTAGTTTTTTTTATTTTTGTGTATGTACAACTGTATAGCCTACACGTATACAGTATGTCACGATCATTAAGAGTAGTTTCGCGACGTGCGCGAACAAGCACTTCATAAACTTCAGAATAATTTTCGTTATTTTGCAAGGTATTATTATAGCCCAGACGTAAAGTGCGCCAGCGCGCGAGCGCTTAAAAAGTGCAATCATGTACAGTAGATGCCCGGCTGCGAATTTTTTTTCCGTACTCGAGAGGGCAAATACCCCATGTGCGCATGCGCGTGGACTTGTGATTTCTCTGCTACTTCCCATACGAAATGTACATGTATTCGCATGTACTGTGCACGATTCGCGTTCTACGAGTAAACGATGGCATAGTAGTCTTCAAACACAGACTCTGATTTGCCAGTTTGACAAAACAATTACGCATATATCGTGCGTAGCAATAGTACTAGTATTCAAGTCTGAGTAGTTGTATGATTCAGACATTTTAGTGCTTACAGAAATGCATCCCAAATTGAATAGCATGGTATAGTAGTCTGCAAGCACAGACGCTAATCGGACAGTTTGACAACATAGTGTCTTGAGTAGTGCTTTATATTCAAATATGTGTAGTTTTATGATTCAGACCCTACTGGTGCGTGTATTGGAAAGGCATCTCAACTTGCAGAGTGGCATAGTAGTCTGCAAGCACAGACGCTAATCTGACAGTTTGACAAAATAGTGTTATTCAAGTCTGAGTAGTTTTATGATTCAGACCCTACTGGTGCGTGTATTGGAAATGCACCTCAACTTATAGAGTGGCATAGTAGTATGCAAGCACAGACTCTCCTTTGACAGTTTGACAGAATAATATAGGCCTATTGTGTATTGAGTAGTGCTTTTATTCAAGTTTTCGTAGTTTTCTGTGTTGTGCCACTGCTCTCTCACTCTCTCTCTCTCTCTCTCTCTCTTTCTCTCTCTCTAGCTCTCCCTCCAGTATGCTCGCACTCTCTGTATTACTTTTATTTATAATCATGGTCTGCTGAGAGCCAGAAGGATGTTAACTCTTAACACAACGAATGCCCTTCTGGCTCTGAACAAACGATAGTAGGCCTATTTATAGGCCTACCATGGGGTCTGGAATCATTAAACTACACAAACTTGCATAAAATCACTACTCATCAATACACAATATATTATTATGTCCTTGCAGACTACTATACTACACTCTACACATTGAGATGCATTTCTAACGCACGCACCAGTAGGGTCTGAATCATACATCTACGCAGACTTGAATAAAGTACTTCTCAGCACACTACTAGTATGTTGTCAAACTGTCAGATTAGCGTCTGTGCTTGCAGACTACTATACCATTCTATACAAGTTGGCGACTTGAATAAAGTACTTCTCAGCACACTACTAGTATGTTGTCAAACTGTCAGATTAGCGTCTGTGCTTGCAGACTACTATACCATTCTATACAAGTTGCAATGTATTTCCATATGCACTACTGGGTCTGAATCATACAACTACACAGACTTGAATAAGCACATCGCGACACATACGCATATTGATTTGTCAAACTGGCAAATCAGCACCTGATACCAATAATCGAGCCAGTAAGGTATCAAAGCAGGTGACCCAAAGTCGCTCAGTATATATCAGAGCAGAATATATATTCTGTAACCCAGGTGATATAGTTGCAATAGTAATGTACTGGAACTATATTGTCTCCTGGATTATACTGATGACCCAGTAAGATAGTGTAAAACTAGTCGTCCAGCGCGCGCGCGCTACTCAGCTACTGTAGATCACCGCCTCTGGATTATATTCTGTAACAGTAACTTACTGTGGAAGGCTTGTGCGGAATACGCGTGCGTACCATTAGGCAGCCTATGCCATATCCTGCATGCTCGACCGGCTATAGCGGCGGATCCAAGAGTTTTTTTTTTTAAGGAGGGGCATGAAGTGTTATATCGGCATGGGTCCCGGGGCCAAAGGGCCCCGGAAAAAAAATTGAACTATAAGATGCTTTATGGTACATTCTGAGGCATTTCTGAATGCGTAAACTGAACATTTATTTGAAAATTCTGGGCTTTTCCCTGTTTTTTCGGAAGGAATTGGGGGGCATGCACCCCAACGCTCCCCATGGGTCCGGCCCTGGCAAGGCTAGCTAGCTCGACGCGATCCGGCAGGGCTAGCTCTCTGCAGTAGTACGCCCAGGACTGGCGTCGACCGCCGGCGCCGCCGCTAGACCCGCCAGAGCGCCTAGCTAGATACCGTACCTGCAGCTAGCATCAGCTACAGTTTCAGCTGGTCGGCGCAGCTTTTTAGCCTGGCCTATGCTGCTGGTGGTTCCTTGTCTTCACTCCAAAAATATCTACAATGTATACCGTAAGTTTTAAATATGTCTATAGATATTCATCTTAGAGGAATAATCGATAAGGACTAGACTAGGCCTAGTCTGATATTGTTTGAAAAACATTTGCCTTTGTATTTCATGAATAGAGTAGACTCTAGTCCCAAATATAAACTTTTCTGTGTGTGATTCCATCGTTATTTGTGTGTGTGTGTGTTGGCAATTTTTCTACGAAAAAGTGTTGTACAATCAAAATTCATCCAACTTGAGCATACCAAATTCCACTTCACACTCCTATAATTTCAATGCATAAGGTCTAGCCATTAATTAACCGGTATCAACATCATGAAACTCATTGGATTTTACTAAGTTAAACTAACAAATTACTTTTCCACACACTGGCAGTTAGGTCTACAAAACGAATACCGGTAGCCTAGATCTAGATCTAGATCTAGAAGTCTAGGCCTACTAGATCTAAATTATAAATAGGAGAAAATGTAAATTATTGTTCAATTGAATATTGAATATGAATCATTATGATGCTTCAAAATCATAGTTCACACTGCAGTTTAAATAACCTAAAAAAATCAGTTCTCTTATTTAATTTCATGATTCACACTCACAGCTCAAAATCGCGTTGAAAAACTGAAGAAACTGCCCCTTGATTTTATTCCATTGCACTTTGTTTCACTAGCGTTTGCGCATCGATAGACTTTATGATAGACTCTGTCTAGATCAACAGAAAATTCAAAGAAATTTTGGGCAAATCTTGATGAAACTGCGGCTATTTGTGCTGCTCACTCTCCTCATTTGGCATGTTTGGCGCTATAGCCAATGTACTATGTAGGTATTTCATTTAAAATAATTATTATAAAGTCAAAATGACTAGTATATTGTCTACACATTCTTGGCATGCTTGTGAAATATTCCACCACTCATTCAAGGACTCTGCACAGTAAAGCCTAACGGTTCATTGTGCGCAATGCTTGCACATGTTATGTCTGTAGATTTTATAGGCCTACACGAAGAAAAAAAAATGGTTTATTCACAAAATCAGTTGAGGTGCTAGTACGAGAATAAGCATTGTCCGCATAAACGACAATACCCTCGTAAATGCAGACCATTCGCATCCAGAAAATAAGGATCATCCGCATTTTCGTGAAGGATCCGGATTCCCGATCCGCGCGTTGGTGATGCGAAAAAACGGATTCCGCGATGATGCTCCATAATGCATTTTACACTTACGCAGAGACTTTCACGTTATGAACAATAAATCCTAGGGAAGACGGACAACCCATAGAAAGTATAGACGGTGAACTGGAGGTATTTTATTACGCGGAATCCGTTTTTCGCATTAATTGCCAGCACGCGGATCAGGAACCCTGTACCTGCAGAACACCGAAGAAGAAAAAACGTCCGTGAAAATTGCAGACAATCCTTATTTTTTTAGGTTGAGACTTGTCCGCGTTTACCAGGATATTTTTGTTTATGCGGACAATCTTCATTCTCAGACCAGTGCCCCTACTGAAAATGGAAATATTCCTCACATCAATTCCACTCTTAGAGAAATAACTTGGCACAAAGTACCCTGCAGGAAGTCAAGCTAGGGCCATGCAAGGACAAGTAAAAGGGCCACATCCAATCCATTGTAATTTGCAATTATAATTTTTTTTCTTTTTCATAAAGATAAAGAATAATAGGAATAACTCATTGTTTAAAATACACATCACATATGATTTGAACAAAAATACCATGCAAACATTATCTATTTTTCTATTTGGGACTATTAAATGGCAAAATGGAATGATGATGCATTTTGGAGCAGGCAGCATGTTCTTGGCCATCAACACATAATTACCAGGATTTTTCACTGAATATGTTTTAGATGGAATATATTAATTGTTCTTTATGTTATAATTTCATTATATTTTAATCAATCAGATTTCATATTTTTCATTGAAATGAGTTATCAATGTAATTTTTTTGGGTAAAATTGTTTCTTAGGATCATACACTGGCCCAACTTTATTTTTGAAGAAAAAAAATGTTATTGTTTTGGTAATTACTGTTGTAATCTAACAATACGAACAAGCAAAGGGCGTATACAGTAGTACAAAATAAGCACTGACTTGAACAATTCAGGGAAAGCTACATGTATTTATAGTGGGAGGGGGGGGGGGGGTAATGATCCTATGCACCTAATTCTGCATTGGTGTAGTACGTAGTTCCCATCATTTGCTATTTCCCCATTGGTGTTATAAATTTGCTTGCATCTTCACATTGGAGTGAATGTTGTTATAGGGTTCTATAGACTATTACCCCCCCCCCCCCCCGGATAATCACCCCTGACAATTACCGCAAAAGGACATTTTACCCCCCCCCCCCTCTGAAAACTTAGCCCCCCCCCCCCAACCCTCAATTGAAGCTGTTATTCAACCCTTACACTGACAGCAGTGATCAAGGTTGACCTCTCAGTCATGAATATAAGCCATAAGGGGGAGGGGGGGGGGGTTATACTTTGCACCATACAAGTAGGGTGATCCTATACACCCAATTTTGCATCCAGTGGTTCCTATCATTTGTGATTTTTCCAAACATTATTTAAGTCAATTTTATAAATTCGCTTGCATCTTCAAATTGGAGTGATCGAATGCCGTTTTAGCAATATTTTAATTTTATTTTCATATTGCATCTTTTTAATACAAACAGAAAACCTAACATGCTTGAAGATGTAGGAGATCCTCGCTATCCATCCACCTTCGCAGCTTCTTTTGCCTCACAATTACCTCTGTTACAAGTCCTATTAAACACCGTGCCTGATTCGGGTGCAGATGACAGCACTGGGGACACTTCGCCTCAATTGAAGCTGTTATACAACCCTTAGACACAACCACTTGCCTGCTAATTACCTGCTATGAAAGAAATTACATATTGTGGTAAGTACATTAAAGCAGTAATGGGAATGTGGGGCTGTCTCACTGACAGCAGTGATCATGGTTGACGTACTCTCAGTCGTATAATCATCATGGGCGGGGTTCATACGTTGATGCTATACAAGTAGCATGAACCTATACACCTAATTCTACATCCAGTGTTCCCATCATTTGTGATTTTCCCAGAGATTAAGTCAATTTTATAAATTTCCTTGCATTTTCACATTTGAGTGAATTTTGTTTTAGCATGGGGCATGGGGGGGGGGGGGGGTCATACTTTGATGTCATACAAGTAGCATGATTCTGTACACCCAATTCTGTTTTAAGTTTCGTTTATAGATTTGATTGCATTTGACATTCTTGAACATGTACGATATCCTCGCTATCCTTCCACCTTCACAGCTTCTTTTGCCTCACAATTACTTCTGTCACATACAAGTCCTAACACCATGCCTACTTTTGGTGCAGGGAGCCTAAAGGGCATTTCCAATTTCCTTTGGTTGTTGCCACTTTTTTTTTAATGAATGCGTTTTAAGCCTTGTAATTGCGATATCTAAGTAATCATTTGAGGTATGAACTTCAAACCTGCTAATAGTATGTATCACTTTAGGAAGACAATCTGATTATATTTTGGGGTAAGTAGGTCAAAGGTCACATAAGGATTTCTCTTTATGCCAATAGAAAAAACTCTCACATTGTTTAATACAGATAACGTTATAGAATTTACACAATGGAGGGATTTTATTTTTTATTTTTTAATCTCTGAAACCCAAAACTGTACAAAATCCAGGAATGAAAATTTAATCTAATGATACTTTGATCTCAAGATATATGTTTTGGCGGACCCACCTCCCACTAGCATAGAGTGTTGAAAGAGTCACACACTTTTTACAGCAAACGTTATTGTTGAGGCATAACATAAACTGTTTTGCGAGAACGTGCAGTTTTCTTCATGTTGGACTGTTTTCAAGATATGTAATTTTCGATCTTTACCAATTAGTATTGCATCTGTTGGATCATTTAGAAGAAACACCTACTTATGATATTCATATTAATGTTTAAATGTGCCACATTAATCTGTACAAAGTAAAAAGGGTATTTATTCAAGATTAAAATGATAGTGTTTAAGCCTATATTATACACTATTTATTTAAAAAAATCAGTAATGTGAAGATAAGTTGAGGCTAGCAGTCTGCAATACTTTGAAACAGATAAAGTCCTGCAAAGGAAACAAAATAGAGCCTCAAGCACGTTAGGAAAATGTGTGTCGAAGTGTTGAAATGAAAAATTATCTTACAGTAGTCTGATTGGTGTCCCTTTTTTTTTTATCTCCTTTGCAGCTTTGCTCAAGCTCAGCATCCATTATTACATTATTCCTTCACTTTTTATCAAAATTTAATGAATTTTTTCTTTTCTCTTTTGTTTCTTTTATTTGATAGAGCTACTAGCAAAGGAACAACTTCAACACTGCATCAAATGGCTCGACCAAAGTTATCAGTGGAGCAATATTCACCTGGTTTCCCCAAAACAAAACAGCACATCCCAAAGAATGGTAAACTCCAGTTGAAAAGACATGCGATTCTGAAATAACCATGGTCATTTCAGACATCTTGCGGGAGAATTAAAAGGGGCAAGAATAGTCAGTGATTTAGATACATTTTACCATCATGAGCATTCACTGCATTGCACAGTTTGTAACTGAATAGTTGGAGAGAAACTGGACTCTGTGTAACTATACTAGACATGACAAGTACAGAAGTACTAGCTAGTAATGGACAAGGAATTTTACTCACGTGAGCAGTTCAAAACCGAATCCAAGTAAGTTTTCCTCAAGTGTATCCAACCAGCCCTTCAAATGCTGCACCTAGACCACAAGGCCATCCAAAACTGCACCACTCCGACAATTCTGGGAGTTATATTACAGTCAGATCTCAAATGGAATTTCCAAGTGTTTGATATGATATCAAGTGCCGGCAAGCGACTATACATTACGACATCTCAGAGTATCATGTGAAGATCTAGCAGACATCTTCTCGACATATCCGATCTTCGCTAGAATACGCTTCTCCAGTTTGGTCCACATCAATTTCCCGAACAGTTATCTTGCAGTCTGAAAATAGTGCAGAAACGTGTCTGCTGTATTATACTTGGATAAGAACAGTTGTATGAAACCACTCGTTTCTCTCCAGAGTCTAACTTCTTGCCGTCTTGCCCTTCTTGAATCCTTTTCTCTCAAACTGTTTAAGTCATCACGAGATCGAATTATGTTCTACCGCCAACTCGTCGCCAAACCTCTTGCCATGAACTCTGAAACTCTCTACACATAACTATACCCTATTGTAGAACTGAGAGACACCACACTTCAATTATTCCCTTTATCGTACGACTCTTTAACAACTAACTGTGATTTTAATTATCTTTGTCATGTTTGTATTTATTTATTTTTGCTTACCATATTATTGTTTTTCATTCTTCTCTTTTCCATTCTTCATTCTTTTATCCTCCCCTCTCATACTCTCATACTTTTTGTCCTTCTCTCTAAATCAGCAATTAAAGTACTTACATGCATTATGATTATTATTACAATTTTGATTAATTACAAAAGAGTCATCTCAGAATGAAGTATCTTTTTAAAGGTAAAGACCAGTATTAGACATGCCCCAATTTCAAAAAATGAAATGGAAACTCTCATTACCAATCATGTAAAAGAATATGTTTTGACTAATACATGTACATGATGATAAAAAATTTGCCGGGAAACCGCCTACTAATTCGTATATTTGGTAAATTTGTTTCTCTCGTGGTCGTGTGAGAGATATAGGGTGGTCCCATATACATCTTTCTGTGTATAGTGCTTGTAACTTTACGAAGAATGGGCCAAATATCTTTTCATTTTGATGATTCCAGAACTTTGCAGATGCTAGATGCTAGATGATCAACATTTTCTGATCGATTCCACAACGTTTCTTTCACAATGCAATCGCATGACCATTACTGGTCTCTACCTTTAATCAATCTTTTTATTCATTATGTTTAGCTTGTAATTAGGTTTTTCACACCCATTAACCAATGTATCGGTTATTACAGAATTTTAAAATCACAATTATAGGCATGTATTTTCTGAGAGGGTGGTGTTGACTTTTTGTGACTGCTTTTATTTGTGTTTGCGATGGGATTTCATTTCTTTCATTACCCATTGTCGGTTTAATTCAAAACTGTATGAGTTTTAGAGCTCAATAAGTATTAAGTCTTATTTAGGTATCAACAAAAGCTACTCTGAACATAATTGTTTGAATATAAGGTTATACTATTTACAATTGCTATACAATTTCTATTTGGAGCATTTTTGGGGTACTAAAGTTCTTGCTAGATGTTAACCCAATGAAAAGTCATGCGTAAACAATTTTCAATATTATTATTCTACTCAAAGAAAAGAACGGGGTGATTTTTTTCCTATTTGTATACCTTTTTTCCTGTGTTTGGTACTAAATTTGTCATTATAGGAAATATATATTTTTGAAGTCATTGCCAATTTTCATGAGTTCGGCTCATGGTCAATTTTAGTTGAATTGCCCACATTCAAATGTATATAATTCTTTAAAATCATATTGATTTTATTTTGGCATGTATTCTTTGGTAGCAAAAATACACCCATCACATTAGGTAATTAAGCTAAGAGTAATTGCTGGTAAATTTTCGAATTCTCTGGTGTGCAAGTTTTATATATAATCTCTCTATCTTTTATGAGGGAAAAGGTTAAACAAGTACCTACAGTCTTCTCAGAAAATACATAGTGCATGTACAGTGTAAGTTTAACTTAAATAATTGATATTCCTGTTATAGGCAGTTTAAGACTTTTCAACTGATATCTTGTCATGATCTTGGTTTTTGATAATTAATCGATTAGTGTTAATAGTTTAGCATGGGTTGAGTTACTGAGAGGGCACTGATGTCATGGGGGGGGGGGGGGGGGGGGGCTGCTGCTCTTATTAATTGAATTAATTGTTTAGACAGATAACTGGAATCTCAAGTTGGAGCATGTGGGAGGGGTCATGTTGCATTCCTTTACTTTTCTTTTCACTCCTTGATAGAATGTCACATATCATTTCAGATACCCTCCCCCCCTATAGGTATTACTCTCAAGCAAATCAATCGATAGAGGAATGTGTTATTGGGTTAGTTCAGCAATTACATAATGATGCCTTTTGTCTCAAATTTTCAGACTTGTTGGATTGGATAGGAAAGGATCTTAACCCTAATAAGGCCGGGGGGGGGGGCATTATGGCCCCCCCCCCCACGATTTTTCCAATTGCTCGTGAACGCATATGGATGGCGCCCCGCCGCTCGCTGACTTTTTTCTTTCAAGTCTTGCGCAACTTTTAAAAGAATTTTTTTGAAAATCGGACCTACGGTTACAAGGTCACGTGACCTTTTGTCTTTGCATGTCAGCCCGAAAATCGCTCATTTTCGTGATTTGTGTACAAACATATGGAAAAGTCATTTTTCCTAAAAACAGATCAGACATGGGTTATTGGGTCTTGTTTAAAGTTAAGGTGGTTGTTTTGGGAGTCAAAATAGTTGAATTGTAGTAAGAAATGAAATAGAACAACAAAAACAATGAAATACATAAGTTAAAAAACAATGAAATACATAAGAAATTATCAAAACAAGGGATAACATAAGGAATAAGCTGGCTCTTCCGAATTTTTTTGTCGTATTATTATTCAGAATGGTCTAATGAATGTATGCAGTGAAAAAGAATGCCTTGATATGAATAATATATGATTTATGGGTAAAAATGTGATTTGTATGACTTTATTTGCATAAATTACCATAAATATGCAAATGAGTGCATTTTTCAAAAAAAAATTGAAATTATCATATTATTCTATATACTTCACTTGACAGGCGTGCAAATTTTCGCGGCGATCGGCCGCTTCGCGGCCGAGATCTTAAGGGGGGCCATAATGCCCCCCCCCCCGGCCGTACTAAGACCTCAAATAGCCCGGCCTTATTAGGGTTAAAGTAGTATTGTTATTTTGGCTCTATGTTCTCCAGTTTCGCTCTGATGACTGCGAGGTTATGTCTTTTGTATGTCTTTTTTGAGAGGCATGTGCATTAGTCTTTTCTCTCTTTCATAGTATATTGACATCTTTATATTAATTGCAATCATGTGATGTGTAATAACGAGTACATTTGTAGGTCCTATTATAATTCGTTTTTTTCTTTGGTGATGGATCCTTTCTCTGAATGCAATTTGTACTTTTTTTGCCTGTATAAACATCTATGTGTTTTTACATTTGTTGTTGTTCAGCTACCCTAAATACCCGACGTTATATTATTACCAAGAATGTGTTTCTTCTAACAATATTGACAGAAGAATTATATCTTTAATAAACGATTTTATCAGTATTGTACTAGATGTACTTCAAACTGGATGAGATTTATTCTTTTGCAATTTCATGTCTTTGAATTGTTCGTTTGTGCCATTAAGTCAGTGTAGACAGACGCGGATCCACGTGGCAATTTTTCGGGCCCGGCTCCCCCCCCCCCCACCCCCTAGTCTAAAAAAATGTTTAAAAAAATAGGATAATAACGTATATTTAACCTTTTTTTAAACAAAAACAAAAGCGGCGCCCCCCCCCAAAAAAAAAAAAAAAAAAAAATTGCGCCCACACCAAAACAAAATATTACACCCCCCCCCCCCTGCGTATTCACCGACTGGATGAATCGCTGCTAAATATTTTCTCACGAATTGGGCCCCCAAAAAATATATTAAAAAAATATATATATGTGCTCTTACCCCCCCCCCCCCCCCCCGCCGCTTATTAACAGCCGGCTGAGTCGGCGCTAAATTTTTCCTCTAAAACTGTACCAAAAAAAAAAAATGTTCTTCTACACCCAGCGCCCCCCCCCCCCCCGTTTTTTCATTTTTCACCGGCCGGCTTAGTCGGCGCTAAATTGTTTTCTCAAGATTTGCCCCCCCCCCCCAACTCTTTTCGCCAGCTGGATCCGCCCCTGAGTGTAGACGCCACATACTGTGCCTTGGTGTGATTAAGAGAGACTTGATGTGAAATGGGTTGTTGAGATTTGGAGAGGGAAGTCCTGGTCCATCATATTACGAGAAACCGGTAGGACGCCGCTAAAGTAAAGTAAAAAATATTTGGACTAAGGGCTGTGAGATTCCGAGAAAAGTAAAACATCTGCTCAGAGCTAGATTATATTCTGGATCTCCACAGAAACATGATAGCTGTTCAAAACACATCGGTGTTCTCTACTCTATGTCGCAAATTGGGAACTAGAAGGGCATTGATATAACCTGTGATTTCACTGCATGTCATGAAAACCCTCTTATGTAACAACAAAATCAAAAACTATATTCCAGGGCCAAAATTGTCAAGCTTTTCATTACAATGCTGCCCCTCCCCTCATCACTCATACAATGTACGTTTTATAAACTGATGCACAATATTTTGTCAAATCCTATTTTTCACATTTTCCTGCAATGCCCCGTTAAAATTAAAATTACATCTATGATTTAAGACATTCAATATATCTTACTAAGGCAATTCTACTGAATGTATGGGCATGGCTACATTTTATTTTCAATAATCTATAATCATTTTTTGTAATTCTCCTTGATAAATTTCCTAAATTGTTACACGGTTTTAATATAGTTTGTAGATAATCCGTCTTATATTTAAAAGGGGGGCAGTGGCTACAAGAAGCCTCCATTGACAAAACATGGCAAACATATTAAGAACAATGCGCTATTTAAGCACATTTTCCGTTTAGGGACAAACATTTGAATCCAATCAGTTGTAAGACCAATTTGAAAGAAGGTTGAATGCACACGAAAGGAATCTAGCTGCAAGAAACCTCTATATTGACCAGAAAAAAAGCTGACATAAAAGTAAAGTGCAATATTATTAGGTACGTCGATACGAGGATAAAAGCGAGGGCGCTCTTCAAAATAGATTAGGTTAATTAATTTTTAAAATATGTTTTTAATGTAACCGTGTTTCAAAAATTGATTCTAAAAATATGTAATGGCATGAACTATCACTCTACAAAGTTTGAATCATCAATTCAAAGCGCAAGACAAAAAGTTGAACAAACTACCTAAACAGGACAATAACACCATCTCGAACTATAAACCTTCGTACATACACATTTTGCCATTCAGGATGGATCCCATTCGTGACAGATTGTGTGGAAATCGATTTACACGTCGTGTATTTTACATGCAGGAAAGGGTGTATCACGCCGTTTAATTCCGTTTAATTAAAGGTAGAATTTGCGTAGCAATTAGACGAATTCAGATTTTTTTTTCCTGCCATTTATTTATTATGCAGTTCATATGCAAAGTTGAACCTAATACGTTCTTATGTCTTTCCATAATACTTAGTGTAAAACTAACAAAATTATACACATTATGTGGTGAATATTCTAACACAAGAAATCTATAGAAGATTATAGCTGCAATATGTGACAAATAGATGTAAGAGCTGTTGTGTGTGTAGGAAGTTTGCCACTGCTTAGTGTGTATAACATGAAACTATTTAAGTTGTATG